TCGTCCCTCAGCGCCACTGGCGTTCAGATCGGGGGCGGGGTTCCGAATCGCACCCTTGCGGGACTCGCCGTCATCGCCCGCATCGGTTTCAAAGCATGTCCTCGCCTGCTCGGCTCCTCCTCCCGGGGGCAAGCGAGTCCAATTGCCGTCAAGAGGACCGCAGCAGAGATGCGTATCGACGGTTACCTCCACCAGTCCATCCGGCCGGAGCCACGTTTGCTTTTCGGGCTGAGCCCCACGGGTGGCGACCGTACGTTCCCGCCGAGTGGCCGGTAACCAGCGTACACGCCGCCTCAAGTCCCTCGTGATAGGCTCACGCCGACCCGAGCCCGTAAGAGCGATAGGAAAGGGAAGAATTGACCATGCTGGCACCACCGTTTGCGTGTGACCTACAACACCTGACAGATTTTTATTTTTTAACTGCTTTTTATAGAGCTCTAACGTGCCAAATATTGATCGCATGCCTTCTTCCATGTCAGTGCCGTGTGTAATAGCCACTTGCAAGAAGATGAAAGAAAACAGACGATGCGTCGGAGAGTAACGTGCGCGTATGTGATGTGAATCTCAGGGACGACAGCGACTGGATGAGAAGTCCCAACTGCATCCAAATAGCCGAGACAGAGTGTGATCTGTCCAAAGAACTTGAACCCCTGCGCAGGTACGTCCCTCCCGAAACACAACTCTCCGTGACAATCGCAGGAAACGTTCAAGATTACGCGAGCTTGATTTCAATGTGTTTAGCAAAACGGCCGCCCCGCGAGATGGATTAAAGCGGCTGCATTTTGCCGCTCACGTCGGATTGCTCAAAGGCAATCATTCATCATCGGTTTACTGCGTTTTAGACCAGTGGGCGTGCTTAGAACATATCGTCATGGGCTTGGGTTCCTCTTTAAGGTTCAAGGACTCACTTATTCCATCATGACGCAAAGCATATAACAATGTCATGAGAGTTTCTATTTGTTTGATGACTCCACTGGGCCGGTTGTCAAGATCTGCGATGGTTTGCGGCATCCGGTCGGCCACAGAGCACAATTGTCTAAGTCATATTTCAACGCTTTTGGAAATCAAGAAAAAAAAAAAAAACACCACCATTGGGATCTTGTCACAAAACACTCAACCAGATGTGTGAACAAGTACGCCAAAGAAAAGAGACCCTTCCTCAAATGCTTCACAAATAAAAGTTGGCCTGTTAGTTGCGGGGGTCTGATGGCAAAACTTGCGCAATCCGCCAATTAAAGCTGCTGTAATTTGAAGCATATGAAGCTCGCTTCTCAAAACGGCACAGATTTGATCACGGTCCAGGCCGGAAGACGTCTTCAAGCTTATTTTGGCGGTAGCGCCATCTACTGGCCGAAGGCAATACATGTTTTATTCTTTGCTTTTTTTTCCTCCTACCGCGTGAACCGCATTGAGCTCATATTTGCCCGACAGAGTGTTTAAGCCCCCGTCGTGTGGTGGGTTGTCGTGGAGCGCTGTTGCCAGGGCAACAAGAAAACAACGCTTCTTCGGAGGGGCTTGGCATGCATGAAAACTCGTCAACCTTGCATGAAGCCTGACCAAAGAATCCACAATTTATTCGTTTGGAGTTCAATTGGCTCACGAACCCCCCCCTACAATTTCGAAAATACATTCGAACGTATACTGACGCTAGCCTAACGTGTGGGTCATTGAAAGACTCTGACGGCCCCCCCACCCCCCCTCCGGCCTCACAAACAGGAACAAGAATAGTACCGGGAGGGAACTGCTGCTTGTGAACTTTTTAAAAACTTAATAGATGGATGGATGAATGAACGAATCGCTTGCTGGCGGAGCTGGGCGGGTCCAGACAGATTTCTGACAGGGCTATAGCGCCCCCCGGCGTCGGCGTAGCGCGACGCACTTTGGGCACTTGATAAAAGAGCTGGCGGGAACTGCGCGGATGTGGTGAAAAATTCCATTGAGTCCGATTAAATGGGGTGAAATGAAACAAAATACAGTATAACTGCAGCATACAGTACAGGTATATCAACAAAATACAATATAACAAAACGCGTCACAAAATGAGGACGATTTGCTCCAAAATGAGACTCGTTAACAGACCTGTTGGCTTTTCTTTCCATCCACTGACTGTCTCTAACTTGACCTCTTCTCGATCGGCGCACAAGACGGCGTTGCTCAGCTGATGTCGCGCAAGCAACTTTTGAACACAGCCACTGGACGCCTCGAAGTCCTCGACGCCCAGAGTTACCGCGACGGAACTCGCCTCCTTTCGAATTAGCGGTCCGGTTAGAGCGGAAGCTTTTTAGCACGATAATAGGTCAAGCGTTCCAGGAAACCTTCGTTTAGCGTTCACTCGACTGTCCGTCGACCCACAAGCAATTTACTCTGAGCAGCTAATCGGATGTATTCCACCCTCTCTTCCGCGGTCAGGATCGTTTGGATGCCACTATCCACGGGACGTAAATGTAAATGGATGAAATAGAAAATCGTTCGTGATTCCGGTAAAACTCAAGCCAATAGAGTCACTTACATGTCGCCGTTTTGGATCCAATGAGAGTAAATAGCGGCGCGGACAGAGTTATTCTGTCGTATCCAGCAGGACTTGCTTGAGTTAGCGTGACTGCGGCTTCCGTATGGCTTCCGGGTTCCGGAACTGCCGTTGTTATGAATGTAACATCGTCGTCGAAATTTTAATGCTTCGGTTTTTATTCCGGGTGAGGGAATTTCCGTTTGACACAGTCAAACTTACAGTCCATCCAACGGTGAAGTGAGAGAAAATCTGAGCTGAATTGGACTGCCTGAATTGTAGTGTCTGTCAATCAAACCAAAAGAAAGCAAGAACAAAAACAGAGTCACCCAAATATCAGTGGAAATCACAGTGCAGAATGTGCACTGTGCTGGACTTGTTGTGCGAGTGTACGAGGAGTTCATGCTACTGTGCTACTTTGACAGGACATTTATTGCTGACATCCAAACAGAACCTGACAAGATGACCCACTATGAGGTGGAAGACTTACCTCACACTTACTCACCGCCCTTCAACCCCTATGGACAGAGTAAGTCTGTTTGTCTGATCTTCTTCAAATCACCAAACAAGCATCCCCCTTCAAGTGGATGAGACCCCAAACAAAACCATCAGCCTCAAAGATGGGATGACTCGTACGAGGAGTGCCAGCTCGGAGTAGTTGGAAGGAAGGCCCGCTTGCAACAGATGCTGTTTTCACTTCAAGGTCGATCATTCCTGCCATTTTCTCTCCCACACCCCACTCCCCGCTCAGGTGAGATCAGTGCTGCAAATTTCACCGTGGAGATGGTGGAAGAGGGCAAAGTGAGCGTGACCATCCAAGATCCCCTCACCAGTTTCCATAAATATGGAAAGCAACTCAGCATCAGAGACATTTTCAAGAGTGATCTCCAGTACAAGATCAGCTATTACAAGTCCGGAAATACGGGAAAGGTAAATCGCGTCAAACGCCCACGACCTCGAAGGCTAAAGCCACGAAAGGCAACGACGGCTCAGCTGACTTTGGACAACCCCAAACCCTTTAGAGCAGAATCTTGCTAAAGTCAAATCAAATCTCTTCAGAATTCAAACTAACTGACCCCCCTCTCCCCAAAAAAAATCAAAGTTGGGACTGCGGTCGACCGGTGAGCACGTCGGCCTCACGGTGGTGGGTTTAATTGAAATAAGCTGTTGTTGGGATCAAAATAGTTTTCATGTGACTTTGGAGGCGGGTTTTTCCAGACAATAAATCAACGACTGCACATATTGTTAGCGAGAGTGCCTGAATGAAATGACGCTGATGACTTTTTTTTTTTCTCTCCAATACATGTATTCCAATCTTGCGCTCCAGAGAGACATCATATTTGCGTCCAATAGAGGAGAAGTGTCTGGGTTGGATGGAGGTCATAGTTACTGCTTCATGGTGGCTGCTTTCATCCCGTCGAGAGACAAAGCGTACCAGCAAGGAGCCTGGAGCATCCAGCAGTGCACTCCCGGGCACAAGAACGCCTTTCAAGGTACGCCGCGTCGGCTCACCTTCGGCCGCTCGTCTCCGCGTCGCGGCTGTGGCTCTCCGTCATCTTACGGCGAGCTTCCTTTTTGCCTTTAGATCTGAGTCTCGGAGCCTTGGTCGGCGGCCTTTTCATCCTGGCGATCGTCCTCGTCGTCATCGTCGCCGTGACGGTTGTATGCTGCAGACGCAGAGCAAGAAGCTCCCGCACGTATCAGTCATCGTCAGTGGTGTGATTGCTTTGTCGCTGGCAATGCGCGCCAGATTTCACCACCGTGTAAATTTGTTTGATATTTTCATCAATGCCATTTTAGTTTATTGAGCTACAAAGCTCAAAATTATGTACAGAAAAGAGAATTCCCAAAGAGACTGAAACGGATCGTATGTGGAGGGAATTTGGGGGGTGTATTAAACACCATGTAGTCCATATTTTGGCGTGTGATTTCTCAAAACCTGGACGCGGAGACATTTTATTTGGAAGCCGTACAATGATCACATGACCCATCCGAGTTGTCGCTGGCAGTACGGCGTGCATCTTTGACTTACAGTAATAATATAACATACAGTCGGGGTACCGGATGACCATGTGGCATATGGAAAATATTTAACGCGAGGATGAGCTTTGGGATGGCGTCGAAAGTCTGGTACAGCCTGGTACTCGAGCAGCATTGAACGTATTGCCCGCGGAATATATTTTTTTTGGGGGGCGGGGGGGCGTTACATAATGTACACTGGACATTGAGTTTGGTCCAAAACTGAAAACAAAAACAAACAAAGCTCGCACCCGCACAAAATAACAGGTCAGTCAAAAATGATGATGATGATTATTTTTTTTTAAATCTCTTGATCATTTCTCAATTTGTAGTCATTTGTCAACTAACTCACCGACTCACTAACTAAGACAATTGCCACAAGGGATAAAATGCAGCCTAGTGTACTGTACATACATTTGATTTGGAAAGAAGTTGACTTCTACTTGCTCTAACGTCAATCTTAATCTTATTGGACTTTTTTTTTTCTCCCACAGTGGCCCAATTGGCCTTGCGTGGGCCATAAAAGCGCAACGTGCGGCAGCAGCAAATGCTGGATGAAAAGAGCTCATATTTTTCCCTTCACCGTTGGCTGAAAACAGTTCCTCCCAAACTCTGGAGCGAGTGAGCGAGCCCCCGAAATGACCGTCAGGTACTCCAAAATCGAGCCGGAGCGTACGTTGTCAGACCGCTCTGCAAGCAGGCCCCTCCTTGTTCTTAGTTCACCGTCAATCTGCGCTCTGAGCCACTTTGGTCCAGCTCCTCGGTTCCCTTTTCCAATTCATTCATCTGATCTCAGTCCTCATCGATTTATTGATTGGGTGGGATGATCGATTGATCATTTCAGGTCGATTCCCTGAGTTGGGGACTCCGCTTTCTCCTTTGCCTAAAACAAAGAAAAAACAAAGAGACAAAGCGCTCATTGGTCCACGTCGCGATACATGACGAACGCAACTCCTTTCCACGCGGCGCTTGATCAATAGCAGGGACGTCCACATTTTTTCCTTTGAAGGCTGCCTAAAGAAACATGGAAGGATGGAAGGGCCACTTTTTGAAAGCCGCTAACGTCGTTTGATATTGCTCGCGTTGTTCATCGGCTTTCTGTTCAGGGCGTTATAGGGGGCGATTTGTCAGGGAGGTGGCCAACAACCCTCTCTCGCAGAGTAGATCCGGCTCTGCGCTGAACAGCAGCCAGAACAGCAAAAAAGGAACAAATAAGTGTCATTAGGCGACCATTTTGCTTTGAGGATCCGTCATGTGACGTCTTCATCCATCAAAGTGCCGCTTACATTGAATGATCTAAATTCACTTCAATGTTTTGAAGACAAACGGTGTCGTTCTTGGAATCACTGATTTATAGCTTTGAATATCGAGAAAAGTTCTGCGGGATAGAACGCAATTTCTTCGGAGTCGTGACGTCCTCCCTTCTCATTCTTCACCTTTTTTAACCAACCTTGCGGCCCGTGTCAAATGCCATTTTGAGTTTTGGTTTTTTTTGGAAGGGGGGGTGGTTGTGGAGGGGGAGTGTCATGTGGCGGGCAATTGAGAAGTGGTTGGCGGGCCGCAATTGGCTCCCGGGCCGTAGCGCGGGCACCGCTAGGATGGAACTTACCCTGAGCGAAGGCCGGGGAGGTCTGACGGGCGCGAGCGGCCGCAGCGGCTCTGCTCCGACGCGAGCGTGTCTGCGGCAGAGAGGTCGGAGGTCCTCGGCTACATCGGGACAGCCAACGTAGCCCCCGGCCCCGAACGCCGAAGCCAGATCACCCCGCGGCACGCTGCCATCGCAAGGATCATCGCGAGCCCGGTGGCCGGACGCGACGGCGCCGTCCACGAGCGGACCGCCGTCCGCGGGTCGCACTCCGAGCAGCTCTTCCGATGCCACGTCACCATCCGAGCTACTATCGCTGGCGCTGCTCTTCGACTCCGGTTCGAGGATGCGGCGATCCCCGTCGCTTTCCGCGTGAAGGCCGTCTCTCGCCGAGTCCGGCACTTCCTGGTTGTCCACGACAACATCCGAGTCGAGCAGCTTCTCATCTCCCTTCCGATCGCGGGTGGGCATCGCCTGGTTCCAGCGGCCGCCAAAAAGGAGCACCTGCCGATTTTCGCCGGCCTCTTCATTGCCGCGGCCGTCGGAATACAAAACTTCCCGATTCTCCGTGCAGGTGAGATCGAGTGGCTGCGGTTCGCGGCGGCGGCAGAAGTCAAGGACTTGTTGGTTATCGGCGTCGCAGCCGTCAACTTCTCGGTCACTCAGAAAGTCAACCACTTCTTGGTTTTCAGGACTACTACAAAGATTCAAGAAGTCCAGATTCTCCGCGCCGACCGACTTCACATTTTCGCCGGTGACCAGAGATGACGATTGCGGCCCCTCTCGGTTTCCGCTTTGAAACGCACGCGGCGGTTCATTGTGGTCGTCGTGACGCGGATCAAGCACTTCTTGGTTTTCGCAGGGAAGAAGCCAAAGTGCTTCTCGATCGCTCGACTTCAAGGCCTCTCCTTTGTCTTTCCCGTCCAATCTGCCAGGGGCCGCGTCTTCCGCGTTATCGTGGTCGCAAGGTTCGGGCACCTCCTGATTCTCTTTTTCAAGGCTGAGCTTAAAGCCGTAGGGATCCGAGCCCGGCGCCGCCTGGGAAGAGGCCATTTCATACGCATAGAAGCTCAGGGGCCCCGCTCGAGAGGAGCGGCACTCCGGGTCGAAAGCCAGATCTTGGTCACCGGGTACCGGGCTCAGCTCGGCTTCATCGGGGTCGAAGAGGGTTCGACTGGAGTGTTCCGGACTGAGCTTGAAGCCGTACGGGTCGAAGGAAGACCGGCTTGTTGGTTCATAGTCCAAGTTCAGGTCGGTCTCCGGTGACTCGGGTCCAGTGTGGAATTCCGGTTGTTCCTCTTGGATGTCACTCCTCCAATGTGCCACTCCTTCGGGATCAGCATCAAGAGGCTGAGCGTGGTCTTTCCTGCCCGGCCCCAACAAGGCTTCGGCAACAAGCTCAGGGGCGCCGTTCGCTGAAAGGAAAGAAAGCGTTCGGGTCAGGGCCAGCAGCGGGAAAACGGGCGAGCACCTTGGAGGATATTCAAGGAACTTTACTGTCACGCGACAGCACAACACGCGGTACCGGAATCCCCCCTGCCCCCTCCATGAAGCGTCTCCAGTTGGTCCCAAATTTGTTTCCTAACTGGAGCGACTCTGGCGTCCTTTCACTGGCTCATTTTCAAGTCGTGTTGTTTTCAAATCTTGAAATGGCCTGGCCCCACCTTAGCTCTCAGCTGAGCCCCCCGCCCGCCGCCTCAGGTCTGCGGACCAGACACTATGAGAGGTACCGAGAACTAAGCGGAGGCTGCGAGCGGATGGATCCTTTTCTGCTGGCTGGTCCCTCTCTTTGGAATGACCTGCCGCCGAACGTTGGGCAAGCCCCCTGGCGGCCCATCTTTCGAAAAAAAAAAAAATCATCTTAAAACTTTATTCTTTGGCTTTTGATTCAGCGGCTTTTGTGCCCCCCCCCCCCAAATGGGCCCCATGACGGGCTGTGATAAAAGTTTTCATCCAGCGAATCAGCTTGCATAGACGGTGAAGGAGGAGGAACCCATGTCAGTCACTCCATGACCCGGGCGAGCACAAGACGGCATTGTTACAATGGCCGAGTCTCCCGTTGGCCTGGAAATGATTCGGGGCTGACAAGACTGATGTGGGTTTAAAAAACAATAGCGGAAGACGTGCCGGAATCTATTTAGCGCAAAGAGCAACGTACGTAAGCAAAGCTGAGCGACACGCGTGAAACCTTGGCCGAGTTGGACTTTTGCAAAGCATCCACAGCTCCGCGACGTACCTCGCTCCACTTGAGCAGCGGCCTCAAATTCTCCAGCTGGAGACGCAAGACTGCGCTCTTGGATGTCAGAGGGCGGGGAGACGGCGCCGAGGTCCAGCTCGTAGCCGTTGGGATCCGATTCCACGGAGCAGTGACCCCGGGAACGCCAGCTCGGGACGGGCCCCGGGTCCAGCTCCTCAGATGAACTCCGGATGGGCTGAAATCCCAGGCGATCGCCCGCCCCGGGCACAGCGTCCAGATCCTCGCGACTATCGCCGATCTCGACGTCGCTCTCTTCGTCGGGAAACTCCGACTCGAAACACTGCGTCCCCGTCGAAGCTCTGTTTTCAGCACCGGACGGACCGGTGCCGACCTGGTCGCAGACTTCATCGCCGGCGACGTTTGGCTCGGGAAACAAAATGTCGGCCGCAAAGGGGTCGCTGCCTTTGAAAGGGTCTGATGCGAATCCATCTGAAAAACGGACACCGTTAGCATCCGAATCGGCGTGATCTTTCGCGGCGGGGCAGACGGCGTTGTGGCACGAGGACGTCGGAGAGCGTGCAAAGTGGATGGAACCGTGCACCTTCGCGCTTACCCGATGCGTCCGTTCTCAGGAAAAGGTCTTCGTCGAATAGCTCATCTGCGAAAGCCAAAACCGGTGAGGAAAACAGGAAAATGCAGACATCACGGATGACAGTGGCGACAATGAACAAACGCAGGAGTCATTCTGCCCTCGGGGTCGAGAAACAGGGAAGGACGGGGACGCGCCCATGCAAAGGTTCTTCCTTGGGCAACCTCAAACAAGGATAAAGTGCGAGGGAATGAAAGTGGCGGGACGCCAAACATACGGCCTGCGTGACAATGCGCAAAGGGGTCGGCTTGATAGAAGTCCAGCTTGGTGAGAACGGACGCTTCCTCGACTCCCCCTTCTTCCTCAATGTCGCCGTCCTCCGGATCGTCTTCCAGGTTGGATCTGTCCATCTGCGGGGGGAAAAAGTGACAGCTTGCCTTCCTGTTTGGACATCCGACGATTGGTCTTGGCGATAAATACGACGGCAGATGAGCGTTTCTCTTTGATAATGTCGTGCGTTGAGTGTTTACTGGGCTAACCTTGGGTGAGCTGCTGCTACTGTCATCGACCTCTTCTCTGGTATTCGCTAAGTTATTGCAGAAGGGCGCGCCGTTGGCTACCTGCTCACACAAACACATACACACATACCTGGAGGTGATTGACATCCGGTGCTGCCACAAGACAGCATTTTTCAAATTTTCATTTGCAAATTTCCACATGCTGAAGATCATCCGTCACTGCAAATACCAGATGAGGACTTTTGAAATGGTGGATTTTATGGATTAAGAGCGTGGGTGGGTGGGTTCACCCAAACACTTAGAGCGCTGTGAAAAAGTACTTGCTGCCCATCTTGAAGCAAATGTGGCAATGCGAATTTTGATTAAACCTCATCGGTTTAATCAAGAAATCACTTCAACGGAGCCTGCTGAACAAATGAAGTCAGTCCAAAGGTCTAAAAAAACCCAAAGCAAAACAAAAAAAAACCTCTCAGCCCACACGCACGTGACGTTTCCATCCTCATTTCCACCCCAAAGCTCGGATGCTAATCAAGTACACCGAACAGATAGAAGGCACCTTGAATGACACAATGCCACTTAGGCACACATCCATCGGAAACAAATGAACGCCCCCACCCCCCACTCCACATGCCACCTCTTAACTCTTCGATTGCTTCATAAGCTGCTGGTGGCGCCGGCCGGCGCCTCTCTTGCGGCTGAGCGCATTTTTACCATGATGAGGTCAGCGTACGCGGGCAGCGATTGGCTCCTCCCCCACGGTCTCATTGGAAGCGGTTCATCCTCGGCGGTGTCCGCGGGAGACGTTGAACCATCGAGCTGGCTCTCGGGAGTGACGGCGCCACCTGACACAGAACAAAGCGTGTGCTCTTCCTGCATGGGCGACACCGGTGACTGCTTTGGGTGGCGAGCAACGTGACCGCAGCAAGTCAGCAAAACAAAACAATCACAGCTTCACAAACGACAGGTTGGTCAATACGGAACTATTGAAAAACAAAACGACCAACAACAACAATAAAATACACACTGACAGTCAGTATGGATGAATAAAAATGAATGACGAAATCACTCTGAGAAAAAGAAACCTTGAGTGGGCCTCTATCGATCATGATACTTTGGGCCAATAAAATGGCTGGCCAATCCTCTTTCTTTGTCATCCATCGGGTGCAAGACCACCCAAGGCGGGCATTCCGTCACACTGACAAAGGACCTTTTTGAGGACATTTGCAATTGCGCGTAAATGTGCGCAATGCTAATTCTACGTCGCGTTCACACGTTATAACCTCAACGTACGTCCACGGCCTACAATGGCAAATGACACTCGCTAGCTGACGCGGGGCACGCGCTGCGGCGAATCAAGTGCACGGGCGGAGGAACTCAAAGGTCATCCGGCGATTGCCGTTTCTCTTTAACGAAGGCGGCCAAAACATGCCTCGTTCGAGCGAAAGCACCGCCTCTTGAACAAAGCCTTTCGGCCATACCTGCAAGATTTCTTCATAGGACTGTCGAATGGAGTCCTGGAGAGGACAGTTCCTCTCTCCCGCCTCCTCCATCTTTCTCTTGGCCTGTTTCACCTCCTCTTTGAGCTTCCTCAGCCTCCATCTGGCTCTGGCGAGCTCTCGCTCGTACTCCTCAACCTGGCTCTCCCTTTGAACCTCTTCGGCCTGCAAAGACAAGATCTGGAAAGGACGACGATTGACAGTCAGCTATTGGAACAATCGAAACACCCCAAGACTGCATCTGAAACAGCAAACCGCTGAGTTTGGAACAATATCAGTGGACAGCAGGAGGAAAAAAAAAAAAAAAGCCATGACCGCAGAGAGAACCGAGGGGTTGACGGCACATCCAGCATGCTCTGTGCGGTGGGTGATGCTGAGTGGAGGAACGAAGAGGCAGCGGCTTACCTGTTGACTCTCTTCATAGCAGAGCTGCCGGATCTCTTTTATCTGCTGAATGAGCTTCTCTTTGTGTTTGGCTAATTTGAGCAGCGTCTCCTCCAGCTCCTTGCGGTCTGACTGCTGCTCCTGCAGCTCCAGATTCTCCACCGTGACCGCGTTCTCCAACTCCTACAAATGCAAACACGCACACTGACAACTTTGGAGTATTTGACCATGGCATTATATGAAATGGTAAGATGGCAAAGTAAAAGTCACAACGAATCAAAAGAAAATCCCAACATTCAGATTTAAGACTCTGGAGTGAGTGAGCAGTTTGACTGGCGACAATGACATGTGGGCGACACGTTGTCCAACACTTCCCACACATGAACAGCGTTCTATGTCATGTGAAATCAAATCCAGTTCAAATCACATTTTTGGTGATAAAAGTCAACGTCGCTGGCACCACCATATCCTAAAATGTGTGTAAAGGTTTGGGACAAGGTTGAGGCATTCAAGTTTGAAACCGTCATTCATGCCTTTGCCACATCTCGGCCGGATGACTGTCATGCACTTGACTTTGGAGTCCTCCATGAAGCGTCTGTGGTTGCTCCAAAATACCAATACAAAAGGAATGTTTGTCTTGACTGTACTGTCCGATATCCTCGCTGACATATTTTCCAGAGTCGTGCGGGGAAACAATCGGTGCGACATTCGCCAGCGCTAGAAAAAAAAAGCCATGTGTGCCAAAGGCATACATCAATTACGACGGGACTCTTCATCTTCATGACAGATATTGAGAAGAAGAAGCAGAAGATGTTCGAGGATGAAGGCTCCTCTCCGCCATCATTGCTCGTCAGTAATTTCTGAGCTCAAGCAGTCGAAGCGAAACATACAATCGGCACACGTGAACGCGAACGAAAGATTCATTTGAGCCGACCGAAATACCGGAGGCGATTTGGAAACGAAGACACACCTGATAGCGTCAAAACCGAACAGCGGGCGCTGCTTTGAGACGTCGCCACTCAAGCTCTCATTTGTAGTTTGCTCTCAGTGCGTCACGGCGGATTCGATCCGCGGCGACGAGCGGGTCGCTCGCAGGCGTCGTGCCAAACGAGTGGAGGCTGGCTTGACCGCAGTGTGCCAAACGGAGCGACGGCCGATTGGAAAATGGCGCCGCGTCGCGACGGCCATTCGTGCCGAAAACGGAAAGGCGCACGCACGCGTCGGTAAGCAAATTGGTCCCAAAGAAGCATGCGAAGCAGACGCACACACCCACACACCAGCGCGAGGTGCTGCGGTCTTCTTACTCTGATCTCGGATGACTTGCCGAGGACTCGCTCGTCCGTTTCCGCGACGTCAGCTTGCCTGGGAGACGACCAGCAGAGAAGACAAGAATGTTTCAGGAGCGAGGAGAGGGAGCTTTCGTTCTTCCAAGGAGCCTTCCCTCCATCCTGCCTTTCTCGCCACGAGCCGTCTACTCTGCGGTGCTGCGCTGCCGGCTCCTCCATTGCTCGCCGCGGCTCCACTGCAGAGGAGGCGGAGCTCCATCCGCGATGGGGACGGGGATGGGCGTGCCTGACTGCGGTCGCCGAAGCGTGGGGGGGGGGGGGGCGCGGGGGGGGGGGGGGGCGCGGGGGGGGGGGGGGGGGGGGGGGGGGGGCACACTGCACCAGCGCGAGGCAGGGCAAAATATGAAGGAGAACGGCGGAGGGGGCGTATTGATGCCAACCCATTCTTTCTCCCTCCATCACAAGGCTTCACACATCGAAGTGCCTCCCCCGCCCCGACCTCCGCTATTCTGGCCTGCCGTGTTCAGCACGAGCGACAAGGCCGGTCCTAACCCCCCCACAGATGCCCTGAGGTCAATATTGTCTGCCAGCAGACCAATAAGAAGTCCTCAAGGGTTCAGCGGCCACGCGAAGAGGCAACCGTTTTCCTCATTAAAGGAAAATATGCTGACGTATGCCAAATGCTTCCCCGCTAAAGCTGCTGCCCCCCACCACCCGGCCAGGGATAAGCGGAAGAAGACGCGGAGCGGTATGGAGATGTTCTTGCCAGCAGCATTTTGATTTCTTGCGAAATTGAGGTCGCCGCCACTGGTTTAGATCAGACGATCGGGTTGCCCGCAGAGAAGTGCGCACATTGTTGTTCAACACTGTCGTCATTGTGATCCCAAATGACCCAAAGCGCAATGACCATTGAAATAAATGTCGAGAGCGCAACGGGCCAAGATGCAAACAGTCAAGCCACAAAGTTTTTGCTCGAACAGATGAGACAAAATGGATCTCAACATCCATCTGTCTAGAAGACCTGGTACTCTTTCCTCTGTTTTGATTTGTTGGCTTAATGTACACACACTGTACAATAAGCCTACATGTTTACTTACCAACCCCCGTTTTTCATCACTTATTAGTTCATACGTGCAATTTCGACCTGAAATCTGCATATGCGACCCCCCCCCCACCCACACATATAATGTGTGAAACATCAAATGAAAAGGTTGAGAAGAAGGGCTCCCTGACGGCCGATCAATAAAGTGCAACCCTCTAAATTTTACTGGAGGAGTGCGAAAGCACACCCCGGGAAAGTAAATCAACGGCAGAATAAGTTGCCCCGGCGGGTTTTCCCTCAACCACATCATCGGCCCAAATCCCAAACCAGGAGTTTAAGTGCACTTCATTGCCATTCGAGATTTTCTGTCTCGTGACGTATGTCCGCCCGATGATGTCATTTCATACCACAAGCAGGGAAGGCATGAGAAACAGACGTGTGTGTACCGTCCATCCTTTGGCTTTCTGGCCTTCGATGTCCTCAGGCAGTCCAGAACAAAACGCATCATGACTGCAGCGCTCGCCCTCTCATCCTCCGATCGTCGCCTCCGTCAACGATCGTACGGCGGGCTTGCACTCAGGTCAACAAGCGCACTCGCGATCTTCTTCCTCCGCCTCCCAAAATGCCTCCCGAGGTGAACGTCGAGTCGAAAGCATCCGGCGCGACGAGGAGAAATTCAAGCGAGAGTCGGGGCGACCAGACTATCGAAGAAAAAGCGTACGCTTCCTTTCAGAACCTTCACAATAAAAAGACGCACCGACGACTCGGAGCCGACGGTGCCTCCGGCTGCGTCAATGAATTTACACACATCCGCACGTGCGTTGTGGCATTCGTTTGAGGGCGGCGAACGACAGCATTTTACAAAAACAGCTCTTAATTTGAAAGAACATTTCATCAGAGCCATTATTTTGGGGGATTGTACACTTAGCACAGGCTACCGTCAGTTTAATGGGTACATTCCACTCTGGCACATTTGGACGAGAATAAAATGACATGGATAAGGAACACACCATTTGTCCTTTTCAACCTAAGTACGCCGCTATCCTTTACAAGTAGAGGTGGTAAATTCAAAGCTAGTTTCTTGCTCGAAAAAAATCTTTTGGGTACTATTATTGTCACCATGGAATATATCTTGGCGATGCGTATATTTCATCTACAGTATGCTGTTTTTGTCGTGAAGAATTCAAATCATGGGCTGCTGAAGGTTCGCCCCCCCCCCTCCACTTTTTGAAGCGACCCATGGATAAGCATCAAAGAAATTTGTGATTGTGTTGACATTTCACCTACGATGCAGACACAAGCACAACTAATAATCCGGGCATTGAAGAGTTCCCATCAATCGCAATGGAGTAGTCCAACTCCAAAAAAGGACGAGCACTCGATGGGAAAACGTCAGCGTCCATGTGACACTTGAATGTTCTTCTCAGGCATGGAGTTCTTCCTTTGGAAAAAGCCACAACACCGCCGCTTTTCATTCTTCAACCCAAAGCCGCCCCTGATTTATTTGGCCACGGGTCTTTCGGAGAAATGCGGTGGGGCGGAATAAGAGAGGGAGGAAAGAGAGACAACGTCACAAACGAACGAGAGCGGCTGCCGGCGGATTCTTCTCGCTCGATTCATTTCCACCGCCTTTTTTGTCAGGCAACGGAAGCGTGCTTGTCGGTGGGCTCTCTTCGTCCGACTGACCGATGGAGCAAAGGTGAGGAATCCGCGGTTGGCGCCGGCTCGAGCGGTCCGCGGTGGTCACAACGTCCTGCCAACACAAGATCATTTCCGTCAACGACTTCCAAAAGAGCGGCCTATTTGCCGGGCGTTCTGCTCCGCGGCGTGTCGTCAGCACCCGGGGCCGGCCGCGTTGTGTGTATCGTCTTGCCTTGACGAGGGGAAAGCCGCGAGATTTCCTCCAGGCCGCAGGCGGCTCCCGGACGATGATGCTGCATCGGAGGTGGAGGGAGGCGGGGGACAGCCGCCGATCTTCTCTTGTACCAGGGGACAAGGAGGAGGAGAAGGCTGGCTAAGTGGATCAAAGTTTGGAAATTGCGGCATGGAGGAGCCACGCGTTCCGATTGGAGAGTTTGGAAAGCGCCGACGTAGGTTGTCAGTGGACGGCCGTGGTTTGCAAATGCTTGCTGGGGACTTTGTGGGGCTCGGCGGGAGCGCTTCGGCGGAAGGGCGCGCGGTGGCAGAAGAGACGCCGGGTGCCGGTGACGTATTGTCGCGAGGAGAAGGAACCGTTGACATCTGGCTCTGAAGCACTTGCACGATAACCCCGATGTCTGCTGACATGCGCAATTCCAACCTAGAAAGCATCGACCCAAATTAGCCCAATCACTTGCACAAGCAAGAAAGAATCGCTTTGTTGACCGACTTGAGCGTGTTTGAAAAAGTCGCCGAAAGCGGGTGGCCCTTTCATCCTTCCGCATCGCTCTGCAGGCGGCCCTCAAACCCAAAAGCTTGGACACCCCCGCCATACAGTCTGAGCTTTTTGGAGGTACGGTACTGCATAATTGGATTGGATTTGATGTTTGTCGGCGTGACTTTTGAAAAGCCTACCTGGTGAGTTGTTGCTGCAAAGTCTCTAGTCTGTTCTCTAACTCTTTCTTCTGTCCCCGAGCGATGGGAAGGGCAGGAGAGGGAGGTGCGCTGGGGGGATCCTCAGATGGCCGACGGGACTGAGGCTGGCGGGGGGGCGAGGCCGGGCTCCGAACGCACGGGACCTCCTGATATTTTTGTTCCTCTTTTGATGCCCAGAAGCTTAAGATGCCGGATACGCCTGAGAAAGCACAGTTTGACGCACGCGCGCCGTGGAACAAATTCAGTCACGGCAAAGACAAAAACAAAGACAGTCCACTTTGGAGACATTCTACGAGCCTCTGAAAGACTGACGGGCCCTCTCTCTCATGCCGCTTTCAGGAGACCTGACACGCGTCTCTGCGACGGCGGCGGCGGCCATCGAGATCCGAAATGGGCTGGCCGGTTCGGACTCTCCTGCCTCGATTTCATGAGGCAATGCTGGACCATACCTGCAGGAAGATGAACGGCGGTCACTGTGCCATCGTTGCAAATTCCACTCTAAGCAACTCTCTGCACTCTCGGCAACTGCCGGCGGCGCACAGACCTCCGGCAGTTGCCGAGAGTGCACATCCAGTGAGCCCAGCACACTGAAGAGCGGCGAGTTCCTTCTACATTTATCGCAAGAGCCGGCAGGCGAGTTGCCCGCAAATTCCGTCCACACGACGGCCATTTGCGGCGCGCCGTCCATTTTTCAGCGGCCCGCCGCATGACTTCATCCCAAATTAAAAAGGACATTTGACATTAAACCGGCCGTACGGTTCGTTAAAAAAAAAAAATGTGGGAAGAGTGAGAAGGTAGGCAATCAGAAAATAGGGGCTATGACTCCTAAGAAATGAGTTGGGACACCGTGGCCACGAGCCAGGGCTTGTGAGCACGGGCGAAGGCGGCAATGAGGCTGAACTGCTCAAAAGGGCCTTTGTCTTGTCACTCAGCTCTTTCTGGAAGACAACAGGCCGATGCAGTGTATTGGATCACCTTATAAAATCGACAAGGCAGAGACTAATCTGATGTCGCATGCAAAAAAAAAATTGCAAAGGGGTGTGCATTGTAAAAATGTGACGGAGGGTTCAAATCTTACAGCGTACGGTGACGATGGTCTTTGGCGCGGCCATGCTCACAGTGCGCCCAATTACTGTGTCTGGGAATGCATCGGTGGGCAGCTCGGGCTCTCCTGGGGTCACCTATCAGGAGGTCACGGGCAGATGAGGTGAACCGGTCACAAACGCGGTGGCCGTAACGGTATCGCAGAGGCCTTCCGCACGGACAATCACAGTGCCGACGTTCATGCTCGGTTGACTCGCGTACGCTATTCGTGAACAACGATGAAAATGAGTCCTGAGTCATGGTGTCGCGATTGGCTCAAAATGTGAGCGTTGTTTTGGCCCGAGCCCGTTTCGGGAGTTTGGTGCGAAATGAACTCTGTTGCACCATCATTCAAAAGCTGCGGTGAATTTTTATCAGTTCCTTTTCAGTCAAGTTTTCATTTATCATCATTTTGATCCTCTCGCAACAATTTTGTCCAGGCCGATGACCGAAATGCATTTCAAAAGAGAGCGCATTGGGCATTGGAGGACCCGTGTACTCGGAAGGTTCTACTACTCTTGGAGGGAAGCGTCTGTGCATTTTTGACTTGGGCATTTCTAGAACATCACTTTTTCTATGAAGACCTGAAGGAGTAGAACGCGGTCTCTGTTTTTTCCGCTGTGCTCGGCGATCACAGTCTGAGTCTTCCCCACTTAATAGTCCGGCAGGTTCATGATTCACCTGGACAGAAAGACCATGTGAAATGTATGAGCCAAGCGGGGCGTTATCATGCAGTTGTTTGCCGATTGTAGATTTTATTGACGCTCTACCAAAATACAAAACGCTTATCGATCTGTACTTGTCTAAAAATAAAAACACGGTCATATCTTGCTTTTGAAATGACAAACATACATCTCTGAGGTTAAAGGTGATCTCCAAGTTGGACCAGAAATAGTCACAAAATTCTGGATACATGTCCAAAACCTGCAAACACAAAACACATTGTATTTGGCGACATGAGATTGTTCTACTTCACTTTGCAGTTTCTCCGAAATATCTGCGATGAGGAGAGCACCTCACACCTCGAGCATATCGTCTCGATGTATTTTGTGAAGATCACAGTAGGTCAGAGCTCGCACATCTGCGCTGGATTTCCCCGGCGAAGCGAAAAGATTGATTGGCTCCCCAAACACATCATTTTTTCCTGAAAAGGGAAGGAAATAAGTCAGTGGGTCACACCAGTGGAACCCCGTTACGGATCGGGGCCCGCCGACATATTCGCGCATTTTTAAAAAAAAAATTCCTGCGGATGGTCCACTGTATATGTCAATAAATGCTATTGTTGCCATCATATGACAACAAGCGCAATGTGGAGACGAGGCGGATCCACTCCGAGAGAGCGCCCCATGTCAGCGAAACTCACCGAGAATGGCAACCACCACGTCCCCTCTCAGAATCTCGATGGATCCTCTGGAGATAAAGTATAGGGCTGATATCAGGTCTCCGGCATGTACCAGGGTGTCACCGGGGGGAGCGTGGGTGGTCTTAAACCTCATGGCCAGGGCCCTCAGACAGCCCCGAGTAGATCCTGAACAGCCGCAGCACACAATGCCAATTTCATCCATCTTGAGCGCTCACATTTTGAGACACGTTTAGCAAGAGCAACGTTCAGGTTAAACACACAACATGCGACAAATGCTGCGAAAACGGCGGCGGCCAGGCGACCCGAGGCGGCGCAGGCAAAATGACCTTTGAACGCTTTGCAGTTTTTCAACAGAGATCTGTTGAGATGGAGACAAATATCTGCCTGAAGACACTCCGGGAAGCCTTTTAGCACCTGAGGGAGACAAAAGCAGACACGAGACCGCAATGGTCGGACCTTCGCTGACGCTTGAACATTTTGTTTCTCCGGTCTGTGCGCGGCAATTGCCAAGTCACAAACCGAAGAGCGGCAGACACGGCCGGCACTCACTGCGTTCATGTCTATTCCATTTGTGTAGGACCACGCGTGTTGGAAGTATTCCTCCAACCTCTGTCTCAAAGGGTTGGGAATCTGGTGGAAGCGGATAAACTCTCGAACTCGCATCATCTGAGCATGGTAGCGCGCCGTCCCGGAGTACAGACGCTGAATAATGGCCGACACGTTGCCAAATATGCTGGCGTACATCAGGGCTGTTGAGGAGGTTGAGCAAGAGACGCCGTCACTTTGCCAGGCGGCCAAAAAGCGGGGCGG